CTATCTAAGACCCAGTGTCTGCCATCCCTTATTTTCTAACAAGCTCTGCATTCTTGCTTCTATAAACTATTTCTAGCTGTTCCGCTTCACCCCCCTTATTCTCAGTCACTGTGAAGCCTTCTTGCCTTTTTACTTCCACTTATGGGGCCCTTCTCACCTTTCACTCAAAGATATCTTTATATTACAACATTTTAGCAAAAGTATTTTTTGAGCTGTGTTCAGAACCAACACATTTATGTAAGCTGGGCCCTCTCTTTGTCTGCTTGTATCTGCTAAAAGCTTAGAACATCATTGGTTTTGTTTGTGTAGACCTGTTTTGTTCTATTTAGTAGTACTTGCCATGCAACTTCAGAAACCATTTTAAAATGCATCTGTCACAGTATATTACTCTGATGAAACCAGTATGTTGATTGAATAGTTTCACTGTCTTAAGCTTTTTTGGAAGAGAATTAATTGTTTAATTGCAATGGCTTCATCTCCACTGAAAGTTTTTGTTTAACTTGTTTTATTTACCACCTAAAATTTGCTAGAAAGGTTAAGTAATCTCAGCTAAGATTACATTTTCCATTGTATTTTGTTTCTAAGTTATGCTTATCAGTTTTAATAAGTTTATTTTTTCTGTTGCACTTCCTTGCCATTCTTTTTATTCTTATGTCCCTTCTGCTAATGCTTCATATTGTAATTTCCACAGTGTGCTTCCTGGAGTGCAAGGAGACAATTAGATCCTTAAGCTTGGCTTCTACTTAATTTTTTTCTTAACTACTGCTATTAACAGGATTACATATGAAAACAGTATTGTACAAAGTCACGTGGCTGACTTAGATCTACAGATTCCTTTTTTGTTCTTTCACAAGTACAAACAACCTTTTCTCTCTGTTGACATAATCTAAGGTGTTTCTCACATTCATTTATGAAGTAAGTCTTTACTAATCCATAATATTTTCTCCAAAAGCAAGGGAACACCACTTGCTTTTTGTTTTTTCACCCATTCTGTGGTTTTTGGTACCCTTATCTTATCTGTTTTTATTTTCAGAATACTACCTCCAAGTGTGTCCAGTAGCACTGGATTTATTTTTTTTTTGGACGGGAAGCACAGCTTTGTATAAAAAAAAGCAAAACAAAAAACATTTTCTACAAGTTGGTGCTATTTATGTTGTGTATATTAATACTAATGATACACACTCCTGAGAAAGCATCCTTGCAGAATCTACCCTGAAAGTGCCTTGCCTGTTGAGATAATGAATTCTCCACTGAGTTGTAATTTTCTTTCTGCTTCTACTCATAACTATGCAGTTACCTCATTACTCTTCGTATCCCTCTCCTCAGACATTCATAGACTTTTCAGCAGTAAAGGGAATACTGGAAACCTGCGGTGAGAATCTTCTTGATGGAAAACACACTTTTTCACTTCCTTTTATGCTTCATTTCTCTTCTCTATCTCTAGATTGTTAGTGACAGGCAGGCCTCTAAATGAGTAGGTAAAACATTCAGTGGTAGAAATTCATTATTAAATCTTTACTAGTGTACCTCTGTCTCATGGTCAGAGTTCTAGGTTGTCAGATATATGTAAGTCTTTATAAACCTTAGTATTTTCAATTTGATATTCATTGCCGTTATGTGTAAACGATATTTTGAAATGAGAAACAGAAGGTAGTATTCTGTGAGTTCATGAGGATGATGAACAACAGCTGTTTGTTGAACTAGATATAGAATGGGAATTGTCAAGAAGAGTGAAGCTACACAAATAAATAATCAACTTCCCTATTCCTTTCCTAGTGCATGTTCTTGGATATGCTTAACTGTGAAAGCAAGAAAATATACTCAGTTTTTTTTTATTTAGTTGTTGTGGGTGGACTAATAAGCCTATCAGAATATAGGCTGGCTTACTCCGAGTTCTGTTGAGTAGGAATTGATGTACGCTTCTTCCAGACTGGAAGATTGATTGAAATAGGAAAGTAGAACTGCTGTTGTGGCATTCCACTGCCACATATTGCTATGCAAGGTCTATGCTTTGTGTTCAAAGCTATGAGTCTTGACATGACCATAACTTCTACCAGCTGTGGTACTGTCACTATGAATGTGTAAATACAATATAAAGTACAAAGTCCTTATGCCTGCTTTGGTGCTGTGTAATTTTCTTGATATTACCAGCTGTTTATTGAAATGTACCATCATCCTGTCTGAGAGCTAGATGGCACTGTAGTTACAGAAATACTTCTACAATGTGTGCATTAATACCAAAATTAAATAAACTGGTGTTGCCTTAGAGAAAAGTAATTTCATTTTTTTTTCCTTAGCGTATAAAGTTGGAGTTGTATTTAGAACTTCAAGTGAGTCAGGAAATCACGTATTGGTGTATATTACCAATACTGTTTCTTAATAAATAGTTTATTTTGAACCAGGTGCAGATGAGCATGCATATGTAGCTGGAAAACGTTTCAGTGGCATTCATCTCTATAACGTAGCACTGCTTTAGCAGCCTTCACCAACTCTTTTTATGAATACTTAAGATCTGTCCCCATTTAATTATTTTTCTGAGAGAAATTTAACTGTCACATACTCTGTGAAAGTTAGAAATGAAGTAACCACCGGATATCCAGTCTTGGAGCTTCCTATTCTTGAAAAAGGAAAAAAAAAGAAAAAAATACTACTTAAAATAATTTCTGTGTCCTAGTTTCATTTCCACACGTGCCTTATTTCTGTATGCAGCCATGGTTAAAGCAAATTGGCTTAGTGCCTTAATGGCATACAGTGCCTGTAATATCATTTGTGTAAACTGGATGCTGCAAGTTGACCTGATAGAAATAGCTGTTCTAGTAAGTTCCAGAATTGGATTGTGTGTTGTGTGCTGTATTAAGCAGACTCTGTCTATGTAAAGGTGCTTTGATTCTAAGTGCAGCACTTCCCTGTATCTAGAGCCTATGTGAAAAATGTTGAAAACTGCGTTCTGCGTGGTTAGACATGACTGCATGATGGAAAAAATTGCTCTTATGTATATTTCAGTAAGAAGCATTTTGCAATGATATAAAAACAGGCTTTTCTGTTTTTCACTATGCTTGTTTTATTTCTTTTTTAATTATGAATGTCCCTTTTATCAGTCTGTAGAAGCTGCCTGGTGAAATATTTGGAAGAAAACAACACCTGTCCAACATGTAGAATTGTTATACATCAGAGCCACCCTTTGCAGTATATTGGGTAAGTAAGAAAACAGAAATGCAACTAGTTTCACTCTAGGTTGTTTTAAACTCTTTAATACAGGACAGCTTTCTCCTGAAATGTCTTATGTGCTGATCAGCAGGCAATAAATTTAAATGTAAGTTTGAATTGAAATTTTATGAGGAGATGCAAGATCAGACTTTCCTATGAATTTTCAACTCCTTGACATCTGTTAGGATTTTCGAGGCTTAAGAACATGCAAACTGTGCACTTTCCTGTTTAATTTTTGAGCAAGTTTTAATGGATCATAGAAGATACATAAATGAAACATGTATAAAAATAATATTTTTACTAAATCAGCAAAACTATTTTTAGTGTCTGATACATGTATAGTATGATAGGATATGATATGTATGTGTCAGGTATTATCTGCGTATGCTTAGAATGCACGAGTAGATGCCAATAGGAAGGAAGGAATTTATGTGACTCAAGACAACATCTTCATCTACTGTAAAGCTACAGGAATACAATACCTTGGCTTAGAACTTTGTTTTCAGAGCCAAAAGGGGCCAGGAAGCAGAGCATCAAATTGAGAAAATATAGAAAGGAATTCACAAGTTGTTTATGGTCACAGAATACTTTAAAGGAAGTATTCTACCTGTAATGGTCATAAAGTTCTGCCCCTTTGAGACTAAAATAGTCTGCCTAGCCTACTTTTGTCTTATTTATTTATTTATGGAATAAATAATCGTTAGTCAAAAGTTTCGCTGTATGTGTTAGAACATGAATTCTTCACTTGTGTTCATCTCCCTTGTCTGAAGAACCTATAAACCAAATGTGTTTTCTCTTTTACAATTCTTAATGATGTTAAATGCTCACTTCTGGCATTGAGATGATGGTAGGTTCACTCATTTTTGTTGAAATATTTTTGGAGAAATTGCCAAAACATCCATGTGGTGCCAAGCCAGTGTAAATGGGATTGCTATTGCTTGAAATTATATGAATTTTAGGATTAATGATATTTTGGTTCTCCATGTAGTCCTACTTCAAGAGATACATAATCATCCATTACACTCTTCGAATTGTTACCATTTCTGTAATTGTTCACTGATCTCCACTGCTGTGAAGTGCACGTCAGGTGATGAGAAACCCGAGACTACTCTTGTAAGCCCGTTGTCTTATTTAAGTCAGATCCAGGATTTCATATTGCAAGGTCTACTGAGGTAATGACCTTGCAGCAGCTGAGACAGATACTTAGATTGTTTCTGATTTTATTTATGGATTAGAATTTAGGATAGTAGTGTATTTCTTTCAGACTGTGAGTTGTTTTAGACTAATGTAGAAATTGCAGGTAAATAGTAAGTAAATTATGATTTAAAACAGAGATTTATATTTGTGAACTTGCTACTGAGGTTTAGAATTTCAACCAGTCCTGGCATGTTGAGTTTCTAATGTTTCTTTCATTTGGGGCATATTATCTTTATGGGCTTCACAGATAAAAGCATGGCTTAAGAGCAAAATCAAATTTTCTTTATGTTGTTGTCTTCTTTCTTTTGTGTGTGTGTGTTATTTTCTTTCATTTTTGTTAAGGCTGGTAGAGATAATGCAGGAAGGTGAGGGATGAATCTGTAGATACAGAAAACATACTACCTGTGATTCTTTTCTACTAAAAATGTGTTTACCTTAAAGTTTAAAGGAGTTTTGAGATTACTGGTGATGTGTGCCTGACTGCTGAAGGGAACAGCCTAATTCTTCCTCTTTTATGGGCCTTCTATCTTAGTCTTTATCTCAGTTCCTTTCTAACTATTCTCATCTCTTATTTTATGTAAAGCTTGAAAATTGAAATTCTTTTTTAACAGACTTAGAGCTTTTAAATCATTTTAGCACTGAGACTTGTTTAGCACATATGTTTTGAAACAAGATAGTTGAGTTACTGATTCTGTTTTTTTCCCCCTTGATAGTCATGACAGAACAATGCAAGATATTGTTTACAAACTTGTGCCAGGCCTCCAAGAAGGTAAGTTGTAGTATGATCCTTTTTTAGACACAGTTTTGCACATACTTCTGTAACAGTTAAAAAACGAACAAGCAAAAAAAACCCACAACGAAATAAAAAATCTCACGGTTTCAAGTGACGAAGTACAGAAGGGAGGGGAAATTGAGGAGAAATAAAATATACAGCATAAAATTTGTTCTTTCATTAGTTCTGTTTCTTGTGATTGATCTGGTTTCATATCTGTACTAGCAGTAATTTTGTTGAGAAGAAGAATGCAAGATGGGATATTTAATTAAAAAGTACTAAACCACAGCTATTACTAAACCACAACATTAGTTCAGCTTTTACATATTGGCACAATGCAGCTGCTGTTTTTTTTTTTTCTTTGTAAACTGTGGACATAGACCTATTATGCCAGATTTCCAGAATTCTCAGAGGTAGAATGCAATGCTGGACTGATTTTAGTTTCAGTGAAGTTTTCCTCTACTGAGCGAGTCCTTCCTCAACAGGTGGCTTTTAGTTTGTATTTATAATAATTCTCTTAATAATAATAATAATAGTAGTAATAGTAATAATAATAATAATAATAACAACAATCCTCTTTGAGAGTGGATCTGTTCAAATAAACAAGTACTTTATAGTAACTATCCTATGATATTTTTGTCACAACATTTTGTCACTTATTTACATCACAACTTTCATTTAAATAGAATATCTTAATTCACTTATGATGAAGAATGGATTTCTCAGATATTGATAAGCAAGCTGAAATAGATTATATGAAAATTATTTCTAGTATATTGAAAATCAGAACAGTAAATAAAAATTCAAAAACAGTAGTTTGACTAAAATGTTGTGGGAGGGATTCAGAATAAGGCACAGTACTTAAAATCATCTCATTTTAATGAGAATGTTACCATAGAGCTATTCAGATGACTAGTATTCTGACTCTGGCAAATAAGGTCAGCCATGACTTGATGCAGTAGCAAAGATAGAGGATTAAGTGGTGACAACATCACTACTTGTTGGCAGTCTTGTTCCACTTGAATCAGAACAGGTAGAACAGGCGAATCAGAAACACTGTATTAGAACTTCATTACAGTGGTTAATATTTACAATTTTTTAAACAGCGGAAATGAAAAAGCAAAGGGAATTTTATCACAAACTGGGCATGGAAGTTCCAGGAGACATCAAAGGGGAGACATGTTCTGCAAAGCAGCATCTGGATTCTCATCGAAATGGTAAATGTTTTTATTTATTTATTCTTTCTTGGGTAGAGTGCTGCTCATAACTGTCAAACAGGTCTGCCAGAGGTATGTGTCCAGTTGGTTTTTAAGAATTGCTTCATCATGCTGTACAACAGAGTGCACGTAGGCTGGTTTTGCTTCTTATTTGTTCATGTAACCTTTATTTTTAGCTTCTCCTTCACTCTTGGTGAAGGCGATCTCCAGAATAGTACCCACATGGGGACTCAGTGAAACTTCACAACTCCTGCACTGCTAGCAGCTGGACTGAACGCTATGCTGTATACTTGTTCTGCTCTTTTATGTGTGGGTCTGTTGGCAGCTTGTATTGCAAAACAAAATAATTACTGTCTGGGAAGTCATTCTGTATTGCAGTCATGAACTCTGCTGTTTGAATCATGTTAACGTGAGAATCTCCTGACAAGTGATATCCCACATATCTGCTTTCTTACCTAAGGTGAAACTAAAACAGATGAAAATTCAAACAAAGAAACTTCAGAGGAAAAACAGGAAGAAGATAATGACTACCACCGAAGTGATGAACAGGTGGGCTCATAGGTCTTCTTTTATTTTTATCTGGGGTTTTAGATTTAGGGCCTTGTTAAATTACTAACGAAAAAACTGTTTCAGGCTTTTTTTTTTTTTTTTTTGTTCACTGCCAAAAACAAGATGCATTGTTGCACCATGATTTCGTGTAAGTATGATTTACTTATTGGGATATAGCAGGAACGGGTAATATTTTAAAGGCACTGGTATTTCTGTCACTTTACTGAGTTTCAAACTGTTTATTGGCTTTCAGATTAAAACATATTCAGCTTATTTGGGTCCCTTTATGAATGGGTGTCTCAGTGTTATTCTGATACACCGAACTGAATGTGTGTTAATAATTATGAATAAAACCTTGTTCTTTTTTTCTGAACAGTGATAGTTCTATGCCATCAAAACAGTATGAAAGCTGGAAAGTCCACCATCAAGTTGTAAATACAGTGCACATTTGAAATTGAAATCTCTTGCTAGGATATACCAGCTATGCCTTTTATATTTTTCTCATATGTCTCCAGTGTAAATTTAACTTGGATTGATTTTCAATTATAAAACAAGAGAACTTCCAAAGGGATTGTACTTAACACTAGATCCTTTTTGCACGTAAAGTGAATCATCACAGAGCTTAAACTAAATAACAAATTGGTGGATGAGAAAAGTGAGAATTGAAGCATAGAAATGGAATAAACTTCATTTTGATGCCCATCCTTAGAATTTTATAAGTATGTTACATCATTTTTGTCCATTATTTTAAAATTTGCTATTTTCTTTTAAATTTAAAATTCTCTAGAATTAGCAATTGCATTAAAAGCAAGGAGTTACAGAAGAAACAATTGTTAAGAATTGAAAACAATTTTCTTACTATATTTCAGACTCTTTTTAGATGTAGGGTCCTCATGAGTTTTTGGTAGCCTGTGAATTTGCACTGACACATACTTTTTCCATCATTAAGAGAAGAATTTTTAGTCAAGCGTGCTTATCACTAAATGACAAGTTCTTAGGAAATGTTTTCTTTAATTGGACTACATGCATTTCACTTTAAGGAATATTAGTATTTTTCACTTCACTGTATTAATGTGAACTGCTTATGGAATACATAATGAGGACTGCAGTCACTTCTTGCACCCAGCTCTGACTGCTTGCTTTTTCCTGAAGGTAAGCATCTGCTTGGAATGCAACAGCAGCAAACTGCGTGGATTAAAACGAAAATGGATTCGCTGCTCAGCACAAGCAACAGTCCTGCATCTGAAGAAGTTCATTGCCAAAAAACTAAACCTTTCTTCTTTTAATGAGGTAATATTTTAATCTTCAAATATAATTCTGTGCATAAAAAGTTCTATGGAGAAGTGTGGGATCATTCTTTTTCAAAGCAACATCTTATTTTACTTCCTGAAAGTAGCAGCAAACGCAGTGTCTTAAATTGTATTCTGTATAGTCATTTTTGTAAGCTAAGGAGTTGAATTTAAACAAGTTATTTTTCTACAAATATAATATTTTTTTCACTTTCATTTTAGGATTTATGGTCTTATTTCCTGTAGATTTTCCTTCTTCCATTACCTCTTTGTCCTAAATACCACAGTTAAAATGTAGCTTGGGTTTATAAAGGATTTGCCTATTAGTTTGCAGTGCATCTTTTCATGTCCGTCCTTGGGCCAAATGGCTTTGTTATGATCTTCTACATGCACTTGAAACAGACTTTTCAAGGAGCTTTATTTCATACATTATATTCAGGTGCATATATGGCTGTTTCATAAACATGGCCCTTGCAGAGGTTTCACATTCACTGCAGGGGACAGTCAGTAACAAATAATTAAGCACTACTGATGTTGACTGTGCTGTCAATGAAGTCGCTACCCAAAGTGTTATATCCTTCCTTTCCAAGGGAATACTTGGAATCATATAAAGAACTTACGGTGAACTGTACCAAAAGAAATACAGTTTTTTCACACTTCTCCCATTTCAGATTCCAAATTAACACTTACGACAAACGTGTAATGCAGCTTCTGTTGACTACTTCTTTGGGTCTTGCTCACAGACTCTTTTCATCTCAATCATTTGCTTTCTAGTCTGTAGTGTCAAAATCTTTCTATTCAAACTTCTCAGCAGCTGGTTTGTATCCTTATTGTTCTTGTATTCCAGCTTCTCTGATTTCACACCACTCTATTTTAGTGCCGAAACTTACCTAGGCTTCCTGAAACAAAACTGGAACATCTTTCTTGTCCTCATCTGGTTAGTAAGCTGTTGAATTGCAGCTGGAGCCCAACAAGAGCATCACTGTTTGAAAAGGGGGTCTTTTTTCCCCTTTAAATCAGACATTTTTTTAAAGACAGAGCTTTGATTTTGTGTGTAAGGCCCCCTGCCCCATGCCAGTAGTCTCTGATGTAACAGCCTACTATCATTCCTAAGGAAGAAACAAACTGTAACAGGTACTGTTTATTCTTCTGCCACCTCTCCTACTTTCTTATATGATATATAAGTTGTGGTGCAGTTAGTGTATTAGTGCCAGGAAATTGATTTGTGTTAGCAAGTGTTAAGTTTTAGGCATTTGCTTACTGCAAGTTATTCAAGGTCTGAGTTATCACTAGATTTTTAGAATGCCCAATAAAATGATGTAAAGCTTTTGGGAAGAGGGCATTAGCACTGCTTGCGAAGGTAAATCAAAGTTAAGTCCAGTTCATGCAGAGTATTAGAGGTAGGTATAGCACTTCTATGTTGAGAAAAGACATTGTTTTCTTTTTTTAAACTACCTTTGTCTGCAGAGCAACTGCAGGATGGATAGTTCCATAGTCTTTGGAGAAAATAAATCATGCCTAAAATTTGTAGTATTGTTTGAAACATATTTCACAGATTGTGTCTCAACACATTGACGTCTTCTTTGTATTGTCAGCTGGACATATTATGCAATGAAGAGATTCTTGGCAAGGACCACACGCTCAAGTTTGTAGTTGTTACAAGATGGAGATTTAAGGTATGACATCGTGATTTCAAATAAATCATAGAATGTCTAAATTAAGGTTGTCTAGATTAAGAATGTTTTTAAAATATGTGGCTCTCACAGTTACAAAGCAATAACTGCAAACTCATGTCTATCTAATGCAGCATTTTCAAACAGTAAATATTAAATTTGATTAAATATAACAAACAAGGGAAGATGGTATGTTGCATCAGCTGTCAAACTGTGATCAACTCTGGCAAATTAATTGGAAGCTACAAGAAAGTATTAATTTTATCTGTGATAGGTGAAACTGATTGTACTCTGTGTAGGTGGGGAAAGGAACTGTGATGCAGGAAAGGCAGAAATTTTCAAAACGGTTCTTTCCTGTAGCTGAACAGGACAACTTTATTTCTCAGGGAGAAAGAGTAATTGCATTGCTTGCCTGCCTTAGTTAAGGAGAATTCCAACAGTGTTTAGCAGGCAAAAACATGGCATGTTAAATGTGTTTGAGTACATCTTTAACTTACTGATTGTGTTTCTCTGAACAACCCCTTTGCAACTAAATAATAAAGTGGAACATCTAATATGTTAGTTATCACATTAATAATAGCATCTCAAGTGAAACAGATGTAAGAATGAATTGCAAAGTTGGGCACTTATGAGTTGTCACACTTACAGATTCACTGTATGTATATTTTATGCTCTTTGAAATAAGAGGTGGAATAGTGGACAACAAACACAACCCAAGCTTACAGTGTATACTGAGATAGAACCACCTAGTGGCTGTGGATGACTGTCTGAAAGATGTGCAGGTGGGAGTAGGAAAGTGTCTCCTTCTCTGCGTGTAGTAAAACAGTTTCTTTTCTACATATAGCTGCATAGCAGATACAGATAGAAGGCAGAGGTCAGCCTCTGATTTGCAGAGAGGTCACTATTAGAATCCTACTAGAATTTGTTCCTGAATGATCAAGAGGTTTGAAAATGCAGTAATATCTCAGTAATAATGCTGTGGTTATTTGGGATAGCAAAGTCAGATTAATCACAAAGTATTTAAGAAAGCCTTTACAGTTCTGTGTGATTAGAGATTGATGGGTGATGCCTCAAGTTCAGTGTAGGTTACTGGGGATAACACTGCTGAACTTTAAACAATGACGAATTGTAAGCTAACAGAATTTGCGAGGATTTAAATTCTTATGTAAGAAAAAAATGCTGGGAATTTTTATGAAAAATAAATAATTGAACAGGAGCATCAAATTGATGTACTATTCATAGTTATCATGGAGATTTCTGCACTTTTGAATCAAATGGAAAAGGCAACTGTGTATTGACATCTTAAATGAAAGAGGTGGAGAGTGTAAGATGAAACTCAGAGGCTCTGGAACAAATGGAAGTGATTTTTTGCAGGGTGAGCTACTCCTTGATGTGACATGCTATAGATGTTAGAAGTTTACAAGTTTACCTATGTAGAAAAAGAAACAGTGGATATATTCATAGAAGAGGAATTGAACTATTAAATATATGAAGTACTGTGTACTCTTATACTGAATTCTAAGCATTTACATTTCTCACTTGGTAGGTTTCCTGAGTTAAACAGTCTTGATAGAATTGGTCATAAGGTGAACTATTCCTGACAAAAGGGAACGGATTCTCCATTTGATTTGAGTTTTACAGATTAAATTCCTTCTTGTCTTGATACAATTTTGACTGATCAGACAGCTATTCTGATAGTTTGTTTAAGCCTTGGTTTATGAAACAAAAGTTTTATCTACTGGAAAGATGAATTCTGGCTTTGTTTCTTAACCTAGCCTATATTTCTATCTTGCAGAAAGCACCTCTACTGCTACATTACAGACCCAAAATGGACTTGCTGTAAGAGAACTTTATTGTCCTTCTGGACAGAGCTTTTTGCAGAGACTATCATCTGGCACCTTCTTAGTGCATCACTAATCACATGATATGAATCAGACAAATAATTTTGGAAGACTGTAGTGCTTTCATAGCTGACTGTCCTGAATATTTCTCCTGGGGATGTGTTATCTGGATTTCTGGACAGAAAATATTTATACTTATTTTATATCAAAGAAATCAAAACTCAACAAGACACTACCAGCACTAGGTTTACAGATATTGAAAACACTTCACAGTTCCATGTAGCTCAGCCTGACTCATCTCTTACAGTTACACAGAAATAAGTTAGAATGTTGTGGGGTGATTTTAAAAATGTTGCTTTTGACACCAAGTTGCATTTAGTTACTTTTCACATTCTGAATATTTAAAAATATATTTTTGCAAAGTGTTCTTGTCTTATATAGTATGCCTGATTGCATTGGCTTTAATCAAGTTCTGTAGGTCATTGAACATAACTAATGATATAGTGACTGGTGATATTTATTATGCTGCATTGAAAACTTTTGAAAATCTGGGAAAACAATGGGTTTATTTGTTGGTTTAATCCAGTTGTTGCTCTCTCTCAGTTTCTGTTTTAGTAAAGTTTTAATGCCCTTTTTGCATGGTGATTTGGTAAGATTAATTGTAATCTCTGCAGCTGATTTTAATGTGCCCTGATATTTTGCTGTGGCATATATTGCACCACATAATGATAAATACTCAAAAGTGCTAGATTTATGAACTTTAAATATATATATATATATAAACATTTCTTATGTAGCTATGGCTTGCAGAAATCAGTTTTTACTGTAAAGAGAATTTATTCTCTCTGGCTAATGAAACACTGGCTCTTGGACAACATTGGGTGATACTGCACAATTTTCACTGATTAAAATTCCTTAGAGAAGTAGAAGCAGCTTTATATTTTAGTAACAGCTTCGTATTTTCTTTACCTATTTTTTCTGAAACTGTTCTGTTTTCTTTAGCACAATTACTTACTGTTTTGGGGGGTCAGACAAGATTATTTTCACACCTCTGGCCTTAATTGATAACAGTACTTGCATCAGCCCTAGCAAATGCAAGGTAACATAAATGCCATGTATGTGTGTACATATATATATACACACATATGACTGTTTGTGTTATGGAATGCACCCTCAATAGCACTTAGCAGTGTTCACTGCGTTGTAAGGCTTTTTGAAATTGTCACCTTTTTAAAAACAGAGTTGAAAGTGATTTCTGCAAGCTGTATATTGTATAGCACATATAGGACAAGAGCATTTGGCTGCCAGCGTGTTGAGTTATCTAGAACTCCAAACATACTATTAACATCTGGAAACAGTTAACCTTCTAACTTTTGGAAGGGTTTTCCAATCAGCTGAAAATGCTAGCTGCTATACATATAATTTTTTATAAACTGCCTTTGGATAAGAAAGTAAGCTTGCTTGTAACTGCCCTGCTTTGTCTGTCTGTGCTTATTCCTCTCTTCAGCAAGAAAGTATAATTTATTACTGATAACAGGAAGCTGATTGTGAAAGAGGTTTATCTCAGCATTTGAAGTCATCTTCTCAAGCTTTCAAAGCACCACATTCCTTAGCATACCTCCTGCACTTTTATTCTTTGGAGTTTTCAGCCCTCCTTTGTTAGCTGTGCTGCTGCAGAAGGGATGCTCCATTTTCTGTTTATCTTTCCAAAGATAAAATATCTTTCTCGTTTTTATTTATAGTCACAGATGTGAATGGGAAGTAAATCAGAAGATACGCAGGCAGAGAAAGAAAGGGAGCCTACTGAAATATGGGGATGTAAAGGAGGTGCAAATGCTAAAAAAGGCTGCAAATGTGAGGGCAAGATGATAGGTAGACTGAATGCTTGCATTAGGCGGAACTCCATATCCAGGCCTTTGGTGTGAGCATGCATGCTCCTACAAGCAATGAACTTGGCTCCAATTTTGTTCTGCCGTTTCCAGCTCAAATCTATTTCAGCTTTTACCTTTGGTTAACACGAATTAGCAGATGAGATCATGAGCCTATCTTTTTACAGTCTTTAATGTAAAAAACTGAAAGCAGGTGTTACAAATGCATATGCAGATTGACATACTGAGCCCTTCTGGAGCTGTTCATGCTGTTGATGTTCCCTTGTAAATAAGGGACTGGCTGTAGCTAGCGAGAAACTGAGAGTACAAACAGGGCTATAGATGGGCCACTCTCTGCGCCTGATGCAGACACAGAATTAAAGCTCACAGAGAGTATGTTGATTAAGGTGGCTTTTGTATGTGTACGTGTGTGGGTATATACACACTAACCCACACTCTATGTATACACATGCTTCCTGAGAGAAATCTGCCTACCTTGGAAGAGTGTACTGCAGAAAGCTTTTGTACATCTAGACTCTGAAGCAGTGCTTATAAAGCGTGCTAGGATTTTAGCACTTTCCACTGCAGTTGGAACAGTACTAATTTGTACTCAGTTGTACAGCTGAGAACTCAGCTGCAAAAAAGCAAATTCAGAAGCCTTTCAAGTCTTTCTCTTGGTATAATAATCTGCAGTTCAAAATGTATATTTGGAAGTTTGTAGCTCTATTTAGAATTACTTGAATATATAATGGTGCTACCAGTACTTTGAAAATTCTGTTGATAACTATATAGATAGGTAAATTCAAGGCAGTATTAATACCTATAAATGCTTTTTTTGTTTGTTTTGTTTTGGTTTGTTTGTTTTCTCATTTGTGTGCAACTGCTTTTGCAATGTCTTTAATTTGATAAAGCCTCTTCAGTAAAAAGAAAAGGAAAAATATAAGAGAAATCCCAGTTATTTTTCTAAATCATATGCCATAGCATCATTGCTATGGATATTCTTTCCCTCAGGAGGGGTTGGGATTGTGTCTGGACCACATATTTATTTACTCTAGCCTTACTAGAAGACGACAATGCAATTGAATTGAACTGAGAGGGAGGCCTCCTTTGGGTCAGAGCTCTGTTTCACTTCTGCGAAGCTTAAGAGACAGTTAATTTATATCAAGATTATATAGGAACTGGGGTTCTGTTCAAACCTGAACGGAAAGTTGGACTCAGCATAGATATCTCTGTGTCCTAGTGAGATCATACTCAGTTTATTTTGGATTATTTTGGATCAAGATGGCACTACTGTGAAGTAGTTTTCACAATTGCTTACGCTGGTAAATAATTGCAGTAAAGAAGTATCTTGTTATGTTACCCTCAGCAGCAATGAGACTGATGAATCACCCATGCTCAGAGTCTCATTAAATATAGTTTCATTAAAAACAGAGAATTCAGATAGAATATATGATATTAAATTTAAATAAGATTTGGGATGTTAAAAGTTAACTCTATAAAATTATTTATTCTATTTTAAGCCTTCTGTCTTATTTTGCCGTCCAAGTATTTTTGGTTTCAATGGTCCAACCTTATGTACGGGCATATAAAATGAAATTGTAAGATGTTTTTACAAGCTTCTTCCTTTTACATTGAGTTTAATTAGCTTTTGTTTGTATGTTTTTGTTTTGTGTGGATAAAGAACATTACTTATGTTTTTGTGCAATAGGTTTGAAACATGCATTTATTAGGCATATGCTTAAATTGTAAATGTATCATCTACTTACCGTTAAAAAGGAGTGTAGATGGAATTTTTGATTTGTTCAGACGGGGTTTTGTTTGGGACTGTTGTCTGGGAAGGTTGTTTTTTGATTTGTTCTTTATTTTATTTTAAGAGTGAAGTGCGGGATTTAAATTTGTCTGAGTACAAGAACTGTCTGTCAGCAATATTCTAAAATAAATGATCTTGCAAGAAATCTTAATGTGAACTGTGGAAGCAATCGGCAAGACTTGCAGCCTATCTGAAAATGTTTTGTGCCATTGTTATGTCTGGTATCTTTGTGTACCATCAAATCTGAAAATATTTATTTATTTTTTTTGGTCGTGCAATAGTGTACACAACACTATAATCTCTGGGGATATGGGACCATACAAAATATCAGACTACAACTATGATGGTGCTGTTTTTTCCAATAGGCTATGAGCCTTTGAAAGCTTATCTGGCTCTTTTGTCTTCATAACAACATAATTAGTTGTAGGAGATGGATTTATTTTTATTTTTTTCTGACTGGATGGTAAATGTAACCATACAACTAGCCTGCTTTACAGCACGAAGCATCTTACCATTGAGCTAAATACAGTAGGAAAAAGCCAACCAGTCTGTACATCAGCAGGTAAATATTAGTAAGCTTGTAGTCTCAACTATACTTAAGATGCATTTTGTTCAGAAGGCTGGACTGTACAGAAAAATCTAGTTTCTCTACTTCCTCAGGTGATAACTTCAGTTTGGATATTTCACTGGAGATGCTAATGTTTCAGTTCCTTTGCATAAAGTTTTGATAAGAGGAGAAAAAAAATGTCCTGTACACCAGAATCTGTGCGTAAGATGTAATTAACTGTAACTGAGAGGTCTTGGCATCTGTTGCTGAAGTAAAAACCTGTAGAGAGAACATTAAGGAAGATGGGAACAATACTTCAATCTCTGCTTTCATGAAAATTTGCGATCAGTACAAACACTTTCTAGAAACTTGCTTTCTGTGGCAAGCTAACAGTAGTACTTTACCATGAATTTATGATTTATTTGTATACAAAATAAAGCTCCAGTCTTGCTATTTGATCTGTGTTTCATCTGTGGAGCTTCCTGAATATCTTTCAAAGCCACAGTGGCCTACCCAGTTGAGTGGTAAGAAGGTGGGAAGTAAATGTCCAATTTCATGAGTGCTTCTATTGCTAACTTTGCAAATAGCCTGAATGATTCTGCAGAAACCAGAGGGTTCGTTCAGGTGATGGTAGCTGTGGCTGGAGGATGGAGTCTTGATTTTTAAAGGCTGGAATGATGTTCCAGTATTATTAATTTTTATTTGAAACTGAAAACACAGGTTTACTAGAACCTTAAATTCCAAGTTACTTATTCAAAGAAAGGAGAATTTGTTCTTTCCTTCTGCAAAAAGATTATTTTACAGTTGAGGGACAATAAGCCAGTGCAACCACTAAGCCTTTATTCTCTCATGTGGCATAATAAAGATATTGAAACTGTCACAGTGTAAAACCATATTTTTGGCTTAGCTTCATTTGAAAGTTTACAATTTTTTATGCTTTGTGTTGCTGTGTAATTTTTGTACTATTGGTGGCTAGTTTTGTCTGAATAAGCCTTTTTGGATTATTGCTTAATGTTTTGATTTTATGATAGTGAAGCTTGTATTCAGTGTTTTGCCAATTAATATTATATGCTTGTTAATAAAAGCAGAGAAACTAACTGAAATCCTGTCAAGCTGGAAGTTATTGTCCCATTTTTTCCTTCGGGAATATAAGGAGCTAGTCAGCCTAATATCATGGCACTGACCAACCCAGCATGACTGAAACAATAAAATAATTTTGTGGCATGACATGGTCACAATCAATATGTCTATAACCCATTTTACTCAAAACAGACAAAAGCATGGCCTGAAGTATTACCCCACTGCTCAGAGCAGTGATGTGCCTGTGACAAACATATGGCATATAACTGCCAGCTAGGAAATGAAATGGCTTCAGCTGCATGCAGGAAAAACATAGTTACCCTGATGTCTATATGTATTTGTAGATAGAAATGTACTTATGAGAACTGTGTGTTGCTTTCAGTCTGACTTTGCCTGGTGATGCTGATGCACAAGGGCAGACTGCAGCATTCTAGATGAAAGATTTGACGTGACTTAGCGTCACATGTCAAATTACAAAGAATATCCATGCATATTTGATTTTAATTTGGGGACTGTCATACTTGTGTCACCTCTTTGTGAGCTGCTAGGAAGAAAGTTCTCTTGCTTATAGGAAATTTACTATGACCCAAATATGCTTTGCCTTTGGAAAAAATGATCTGTTGTGGTATTTGGCAAATATTGGTGCTTGCCATCTTGGTAAATTCATGTACTTCCCCCCCATACTTCTCCCCCCTCCCAAGGTCCTTGAGACTTATTTAAATTCCTGAACAGAGCATAGATGCAGAGTTTTGTTTTTTAGCTGAAATTAATTAAAATACCTAGTCCAGATACTACATTAAATGGGAAAGCATTAGTTGAATTCCTTGCAGAATCTCTTTGCAGTAATGCAAATACATAGCATGTGTACTGCTGTCTATATACTGAGAGAACTATTAAGCTTTCTTTTTTTTTTTTTTTCTATTGGCTTGTATGCAATTGCCAGCAACTGTGGGCTGGTTTGAAGTCAGAGGTTCTGACACATAGCTCATACTTGCACTGATAGTACCAATATATAATTGCCCTGAGGAGATCAGCCATTTGCCACCGCTTTAGCTTCATGTAAACACCCTCGTGAGACACTCACCTTAAAAGGGTCTCTTTGCCTATATGTAGTCACTTAAAAGTAGGTAAGTGTTAGCACTAATTCTTCCTGAGCAAGTGTTACTTCTTGTAAATCCTCCATGGTCTCATTTTCTGTGATTCTAACACTTCCCTGTACTTCATGCTCTTGGTTGCTCTCATCTATCACTGAACGAACCTGTGATGGCCCTGGTTTAGCCTGCTTCTGCCCTTCTTACATTTTCAGCAGCTATTCCAGGAGTGCAGAGATTATGTGCTAGAACAGAGGGCTTCTATTTCATGCCAGTGTGATTACAGATTTTCTGATCCCTGTATACACTGGAGTAGCTAGGAAAAGAAAACCTCTGCTTCTCTTACACAAGCAAAAGTTTATAGCAACGTAACACTGCACACAAGTTGTGGTCTCTTTCTTTGGCATCTATGTCATGGAGAAATTGCTCAGGTTTACATGGGGATTAACTTAACGTGTATACCTCACTTAAGGAATGATTAAAGCAATGCCATCAGCATCTGTTGTACATGTGACTTTTGAAATACTTGTTGCAAAAATTGTTTTAGAAGTCAATGTTTCATATTGTTCCATGTAAAATATACTTGTAGTAATTCAAAATGTTCTCTGGCTTTGGTTTGGACATTAAAAAAAAATAAATTATTTGACTTTTAACGTCTATTATCAGTACTTTATGTTAGTTTGAAATGAGTCATTTAAAACTAGCTTGCTTTGTGGATTGTGGAAAACCTGCACAACAGAAACACATTATGGGGCACAACTAACTCCTCTTGTTGTGACTTGAACACGGTGCTAATCTGCTAAATGACAGCAGAAACGGTTCCTGTTTGACCGTGAAGTTCCTAAGGGAGTAAGAAACTGTGCTAAAAGTTGTGCAGCTAGCCCTGAAAACATAGATCCGTCCTACAGCTAATGAGCAGCAAACTACGTTTTTCCCCAAAAATGTAATCCAACATGAAGAACTACTTCTTTCACTAACTGAGTATTTTACTATTAGTCAGTGTTGACAAGAAGAATATCTCCTTTTGTACAATGACTGTGAGTTTCTTGAGATTGGAGTAGTCAGAAAAAGATAAAATATATTAATTGACTATAAGAGTATATCTGGATGGGATTATAACACAATGAACTCTGCACCACTGTGTGGAAAGTCCTGGCTTGTCTTTCATTCATTTGGCTTTTTTTTTTTTCCCTCTGTTTTTTCAAAAGTCCTCTCAATTAGCTTTTCCACTAGAAATTCAAGCAGTTACCTGGACCTGGTAGAGAAAAAAGTTTACAGGTGTACTCTACCAAGAGTAGGATGAGGGCCATATCTGGGTAAACACATGTAGTTTTTCACATGACATTATTTTTGCAGTTTCATTGTTTAGAGATGTTGTATTGATTGGGCTTGAATTAGGCACATCTGTGCTTGATATCTTGTATGTTGATGCACCTAAGTGCACAGTATAACTATGAAAATAAGAACAAAACATAAATCCAAGCAACTGACTTCAGTAGTAAGGTTGACTGGGTTATTCAAATGGCAGGATGATGCCCTTACAAGCCTTGTTCTTGTTCTCTGCCTCTGTCGATAGCATGCAATCCTTCATTCCCACACTTGTTGAACAGGAAGTTTCATTTTCATGGAAGACTTTAATGTTGTTTATTTAGTTCTTCTTCCCTTGGATGCAAAGTTTACTGTCCCTTGCCTTGAATTTGGCCTGCTTTATTCACAAGAGCACAAAGCCTCTGATTCTAGATGCTCTAAGATCACACCACTGCTGTTGTGAAAAATGCTGCTGCTGATGCACCAAATACTGTTGCTATTTCTGTACGGGTCTGCTAGTTCTCAGCAGTCTGCAGAGCAAAATTTCTTGCTTTAGTTTGTGTTTTACAGCATAACACATTCTCTGAAAGTTTTTGTGTTCTCATCTGAGCAATGTCTCCATAAACAGCTGCAGTGGATTGTGACAGTGTTACTTGGGTTTGTGATAAATGTGTTTTTTGATTCCCAGAGTGTCTGGAAAGAGACTAATGGTATATTAGTGAACATGGATGTCAAGCAGAATGTGTCTTCTGGTTCTGCTTTAACATCATCTAGAAAAGATACATTCTTCTATTTCATTTCAGCCTTACCATCACAGCTGTGACATCTGCTCTTTGTGTGTTTCCTCCTCAGCTTTGAGGCTATCACTGGATCTCTTTGGTCATTGCTTGAAAATGGTGATAGCATTGGTTTGAAGCAGATACTGAATAGTTGGTTCTGGGCCATTTACTGTTGGCACCTCTGCTGGTATTGTATGCCCTGACTCCATAGACATAACTGGCTTCTCACCCTGGAGGAGCAGTCTCTTCTTTCATCTGCATTCAAAACAAACAGTCCCATCCCTGCATACATTTTGGTAGACCAATGACTGCTTCACCTTCACTCTCCAAGAGCTTTCAGGATTATGGGATGCTCAGGCTCACAAAAAGTTTACATAGATTCACAGTGATTCACAAACCTTTAAAAAACTTAGTGAGTTTTGAGCGTTTCAAGTTGAACACATGAGAAGAGTTACTACCAGGCGAGTGGGAGTTCTGTGATGGGCAACCTTACAGGAAGTTCTCAGTTCTGAATTGCAACATGGCTCTTTCTTCTTTCAGCATCATCTGTATTTGACTGACACCTCAATATCATGGGTGTGATATGCTGGACAACAGGTTGGCCATGAGCTAGCAGTGTCTTTGTGGCCAAGAACACCAATGGTATCCTGGGATACATTAAAAACTCTGGGCAGCAGGTTGAGGGAGGTGATCATCCCCCTTTACTCTGTTCTGGTGAGGCTACATCTGGAGTACTGTGTCCAGTTCTGGGCTCCCCAGTACAAAAAGACAGGGATCTTCTAGAAAGAGTCTAGCAGAAGGCCACAAAAGATAATGAGGGGCCTGGAGCGTCTCCTGTTCAGGGTGTGTAACCTGGGTCTGTTCAGCCTGGGGAAAAGAAGACTTGAGGGATCTGATTCATGTTTATAAATTCCTAATGGGCAAATGTATGAAGCCAGGCTCTTCTCAGTATTGTGTAGTGATAGGACAAGGAGCAGTGGCCTAAATTTTGAACATAAGAATTTCAATACAAGCATGCAGAAGAGTGTCCTTATAGTAAGGGTGATGCTGCACTGGCACAGGTTGCCCAGAGGGTTGTGGATCCTTCTTCTATGGAGATATTCAACACCTGTCTGGATGCCTACCTGTGTGATCTATTGTAAGGAACCTAATAAAGCAGAGGGTTAGGCTCCATGATCTCTTGATGTCCCTTCAACCCCCCGCAATTGTGTGATTCTGTGATATAAGCAAATTGTGCCCCAAACCTGTCTTGATTCTCTTACTTCCTTGGCCTCACTTCCTTTGTTTCCCTGGGTTGCTTGTCCTTGTCACTGTGGTGAGCTCTCCCGGCTGGATGTGAAGGAACCTCACCAACTTTGCTGATTTTCCCTTGTCCACTCACCATGGTCCGGGGGCTGCTGAATGTTGTAGTTACAGCACGTGCTTATTTGTGAGAGGTGACACCCATGTGGTACAGCTGTTCTGGCACCAGAGACAGTGACCAGCAGTTCTGCTCTACAGTGCCAAAGGAATGTGCTTTTATCCTGTTTGGGCTTCTTTTCTGACTACTACACTAGCTATGCTTTCTTTTTAAGAGGAGCTGTTTTTTGCCCTGGAACTTGCATGGTCTGAAGGCAAACACAGCTATAAATAGCAATAGGGTCTTTCTTTGTTTAGAAAAAACATTTGTAACTGTCTAGCAAAGCTGCTGTTTGTTCCTAGACTGAGCAGTGCAATGGCTCGTGGAACCTGAGCCCATGCTGGTGCATTAGAGCAGGGCTCTTCTCACTGACAGTGCACATTTGCTTTAGCCACATGCATTTCCTTTGTGTGTTATTGGGTTCTGAACAGAGATAGCTGCAAATGTCCTGCTTGGTTTTTTTTTTTTTGCTTCTGGATAGTTTAGGGGTTATTTATGATAATAGGACAATGTTGGACTGTTCATCTGACCGAAACTACGAAGCCTTGGGATCAACCTGTTGCTGAGTATCTGCAGAGCAGTAGATGCAGTAGGCAGTGTCTGCAGATGATATGATGCTTGCTAGTGACAGTTCATGAAGTCACATGTTTATATATGGTTTTGCTCTTCAGATTTTTGTTTCTTCTCCCTTGGTGAGATTCTTGATACGCATTTGCAAGGCAGTGGGTGGGGTGAATCAACTACAAAGACAACCCTTTGTCTTATCTCCATCTTCTCTGGCTGTAACAGTGAAGAGTGAAATGTGCTTCCATCTGGGAAAGTGGAGGTTGAGGTGGCCTTGTTTGTGTCCTCAGGATGCATCTGCCAGGTGTCATCAGAAGGATGAGCCTATGTTAACAGTGGGATGCAGAGCAGTTCTGCTCCAGGCCTGCTCTCAGGAGGAAAGCATTTTTGCACAACCAGGTGTTACAACAGATTTATGCCATCTGTTCACACATAATTTATAGCCAAAATTAAGCAGGGACGATGCTACTTGCTATGTGCTGCTCAAGGTTTCTCCAAGCCCCATTGAGGCCATTAGTACTCTATGTTGGAGGACTGCCCCTGGCCAGCCTTCAGCCTCTGTAGGCTGGTCTGATGGATTCTGAGCAGTGCAGGATGCTGCTCTGCAAAACCTCCTTCATGGCAGATAGCTATAGCCCAGGGAATGCCAGTGCTACAATGCACACAGAAGAACAGCTTGTGGCATGTTATCTTAGATCAGGCTCAGAGAAATGTGCTACCCTAGCACTGGGTTGGATGTTGAGATTTACTTTTCACCATAAGTACTGTAATTCAGGAAGCCTCTTGTTTTTTTTCCTCCATCATGCTAAAGCCCAGCTTCATGCTTAATGGGCATGAAAGTTATATACCTGCCTATTGATCTAGTTTTGGATTTTCTTGAGGCTGATGCACTTGTTTTTACCTTGCTACATGAAGATTTTCTATTCCAAATCTGTGTTCCTTGCTAGCTGGTGATCCACTTTCAGCTTGTTTTAGATAGAACGGTGCGAGATATCCAGGCAGTGCAGCAAAAAAACCCACAAATGCTGAGCAGTGTTCTGCTTACAAGTGTGCTTTTTTTCAGTGTGGCTTCCAGGCAGCACAGCCAAATTTGGGGTTCAGTGAGGCCTGTTGAATTCTGTCAGTTTTCAGTCAGTCAGTACTGGAGCAAAATCTGTCTTGAGGTGCTGTTTAAATCTCCCCATGCAATCCTGCTGACAGATTAGTCACTGTTTGTCCTTAACCTTCTGAATGTGCTTCCAAAAATTGATTAGTTCAGTCCAGCACACAGTACTGGGTTGCAAGAGGTTGTCCTTTGAACACACCAAATGAGATGTACATGCTTGATGGAGCAGAAAGTGGATGAAATTACAGGTTTTAGTTTATTTTGTCAATCATAGAACAGATTGATGGTACAGGTATTTAGGGATCTAGAGAGTAGTGTAGTTTTGATGTATCCAGTCTCCTCTATTTGGAAGCCAAAGATGAAACAAGCACAGAAATGGCACCAGAAACAACATGTGCAGAGTGCACTTACCTATGTATATCCGTGTATGCTGTGGCCTTTAAACTTCACATGTATTTATCTACTGGAAGAATTCTGTGGCAAGGAAGACAGCTGAGC